AATGGCCAGCCTAAAACAGCAGTGGACGATTCAAAAAGCCAGCAGTGCATCAGCGTGGCTGATGTAGCCAGAAGTAGACAGCCTAGCATTTCAAACAGTCTACGGTAAAAAAGTCAGCAATTCACATTTGAAATAGCCAACACTGCAGGTTAACCCGCCCCCGGATAGAAGTCTGAGCCAACTAGGCCGTGGTGTGGGACCGTGTGTGTGCGTGGGGGGAGGGGGTGGGGGCGAGGCTGGACAGATCCGATTATCTAAAAGATAAACTAAGTAAGATTTAAGAAGGCTAAAAAGACGTGAAAAGGGAATCGTTAGCTTTTTACAAGCTCTGTCAGAACTCGAAGTATTCTGGACGTTTTTTCTCGTTTAAGTGAACACTGAGGTCACTTGAGATCATCGCAGCCAAAGTTTTCCCGTATAAGTTCCCCATTTTGACCATTTTTCACAAATTGACACACAACTCGTGAACCAAGAGCGCAGAACGTCGCAGAACGGCGCATACGATAGCTTCTTCAAAGCTCTTTCGCTAATGTCAGATTTGACCGCAGGCAACCAGCCGAAACCGCTAGCGAATTTTTTGGCAAAATAAGTCTATTCGACGGACTTCACCCGTCGCCGAAACCATTACAAAAAAAAACTTAAAAAGAAAAACAAACAAGTAAACAAATAAACAAACAATAAAATGTAGGTAGGTACGCACAAAAAAAAACACGGCCTTATCCATTAGCGGTCGTCTGCTTCTCCGTGTGTGCAATATCCGCCTCCTCCCGTGAAAATAATTCTGAGTACCTGTCTCTTATATAACATTATGGCATCTCATTGCATCTAGATCAATAGCAGCGTTCTTCCCCATATTTTTAAAGCTTGATGTCCGTATAAATATACACATTACAAGATGGCAGCGCATAATATCGGCTGCCAGGCTGATGCCACGGTAGGTTCGTGCCATGAATGTGAAGACTGACCGGTCAGTTCCATTGAATGCGCTGCCTGTCTCTGACATGGGCACGGTGTGTTCTGGACTGGACTACTGCGGAGAGGCGCCTCAGTCTCATTGCCGTCCCGCTATGTGGAGCGGCGGAGCGGTGACCGGCCACGAGCCATGCGGTCGTGCCGGCGCAGCGGCCCGCCCCGCGGCGTTCCGATGAGACTGCACTATTGCAGGTGCCCATAACCGAACCTGCGCGCAATCCATTACTGTACAGGGGTGATGGATAGGGTTGATCGAGTTCCTAGTGATTCAAGGTCGCATGCAGTGAGGGGGTTGAGTTGTAAACCATCAGAGGTAAGAATGTGACGTGGCGCATCGGAAAACGGTACATTGTTCATATCTTTGACATGGTTCTTGAACTTTGATAGAATCATTTTCAACGTGAACGGATTCCCTACAACGCAGTGAGCTGATCCCTCGCTTTTCATGCGACATCCTCGCGGATGCGGACGGCTCACTTTAAAAGGAACCACCGCTGGGCGCATTTCTGAGCACAACCGCGTCGTTCAATGACTCAGGAGTCAGCAATAAAGAAACGCACATTGTGCAGCGCATGGTGGCGTAAGCTGCGAAGTGCGAAACCACACGGACTGCACCAAGGCCATGGAACTACATGGACTGCACCAGTCGACGGTAGGTGGCAGCCGACCCCCTCGTAGGCAGCAGCACATGCAGCGACGAAACATCTCGCATAAAAGACCCGCCTGAAAGCGGTTAGCAATGAATGGACGCTCAACCCTGAACCCATTCTAACTTCTAAGATATAAATCAACATCAACAAAATACGAAAACAGTTTATTGAAATATTTTTCAAAACGGCGGAGCAGCAATGAAAACTGTATGTAAGGCACATTTTTGTGAGCACAGAGATAGACTAACAACTCAGACTCACGACCAATGGCTAAGCAATTACCACACATCAGTCATTTCCTTGAAACACAAACCCCTTCCAGGGAACGCCACGAAGCCAAACTACAAAACTCGGTACCACATCAAACAATGCAAGCAATCGGGCAATTAGCTTGTACTTTGCACTGTGGTTTTGGAGCTGGGTCATTGCTGGCAGTTTTTGTGCCAATCCTGCCCAGCTCATCAGCTCAAGACACTCATTGTTCACTGCGGGCGAACTCACAAAGAATCACTCACTCATACTCATATCAATCTAGTACATGGTGATCATTTGTGAATGAAATAAAGTAACCTGTGATTAACACTTTTGTTAACACTCAGAAGAGTAAACTGACACATCATTGGAACGGCAATCGTTGGAAATTTGATGCGAAGCAAAAAACAAATTCGTTTCGGTTCTCTTTCACTCAGAGCGGGCGCTCGAAATGACCGCTCTGTTTCGGGCAGCGCAGCTCGGCTCGGCTCCGGGCGCGGTGTGCTATTAGTCGCAGCTATGTCTCACTGATTTTGCGGGCAAATTAATCCACTATACCCTAGTCACCTCAAGGATTAGGGCCTGAGGTATTTATCACCGTATTTTTAATCAAATAGTTCTATCCAAGGAAGATCACAGGACAAGATACCAAGAGGGCACCATCGACGATAAATGTTTGCCCGTTGGCCAATGGCTGGTTTGAGGGAGTGGTGACGGAGGAACAGAGCAATATTGCTTTTCCTCAGTCAGCTACTCCTTGCTAAAGTGGCAGCTGGATTTCGTGCAGCCAGCAACATTGCTGGATTTCGCGCAGTTCCGCCCAGACTTGCCTCAAATTAGGTTTCTAGCAGCAATACTAGGACGAGTGGTTCGCCATAGGTCCCCATCATTGAAACAACTGAAGGGCATGGTGGATTAAGTTGCCCGTAACATCAGTGAGGTGCGGCTGCGGCGAATGGCTCACCGCGCCTGCAGTCGAGCCGAGCTGCGTTGCCCGAAACAGGGTCGTCATTTAGAGCGCCTGCTCTGAGTGAAAGAGAAACGGAACGAATTTGAGTTTTGTTTCACATCAAATGTCCAAAAATTGCCTTTCCAATTTTGTGTCACCTTACTCTGTTGAGTGTAAATAAATCGCGGTAACCACTTGCTACTTTATTTCATTTCCAAATAACCACCCCGTGGCTGAGCACCCAGCGTACAGGATGGAAGCCAATCGACTGAGCCCCTATCGGACAGGGAGCCGCCAGCGAACAGGAAGCCTCCCGCCGCTGCATGGCGCGACACGACAACCATCGGTTGCGTCTGTTGTGGTTCGTCTTCCGTCACTACTACAGAAATATATCCGGAATATACTGACACATTCGGGACGCGTATGATGTATCAGTAATTATGCATGAACAAACCGATCACATGAGCGACCTACCTGTTATTGTCTGACTTATCGGAAAAGGCGCACTAGTCGCTAGTGTCTGATGTAGCAGCCGCCGTCTTTAAGTGGTCATACGGCGATGAAAGTGGTCACTGACCGTCCCTGGCAGCAATAGTCTGACTGCTGAACGGACACCCATACCACACAATGGCAGTGACAGCCATACGCGACGTTCCATACTAGGGTGCGTCAAAAAACAAATTTGTTCGATGGAACTTGAGCATTTTATTTTTCGGGTTACTTTTAGCATGAATATTAACTGTGTGAAGTTTGGTGTTTTTTCTCCTTCATTTACCACTGCCTCAAGACACTCCCGACAGGGGTGCAATCTCCCATTGACTTGCTAATGGCATAGCCAGTATCGCTTGCCACAGCCGGCTAGGAATCTGAAATATGATCCTGCACTGCTGGTAAAACGCCAATGACGCCGAAGTTGAGATTGCCAATCAATGCTACACGAATTGGAATATTGGTAACATGCTGGAAGCGTGTCACAAATCATGGTAAAGTTCGAGATTCTGTTGGTGCCGGTATTATGCTGACAAAGCGGTAGCGAATCGTTCTTACGTGTTCCTTCCTGTATCATTATTTATTCAGTTTTGGCATTTTTGGACCGTTTCCGTCACTTTGGGGCATCAATGCACCATTCTGTTTTACTTATTTTCTATTAAATTTGCTTCGTAATCGCCACGCGATGTGTGGATCGCGCATGATCGTAAATAATACATACATACAAGGACTCTTTTGACTTCTCTTCCTCGGCGAATTTTCTCCCGGTGAAGATCTTCCTTTTCCGCCATTACCTCCAACTGCGTCCAAAAGATCTTAAATCAGTCGAAGAATTTGCCACCTTCGCTGCGCTTGTGTACGTTAAGCCCTGGACGGAGGCCTTTCTGCTGAATGAAGCGCTCACAAACGACTTTTCTCTCATTAAACGTCTTCAAGCCTTCCACGAAGGTTTTCCCTCGACTGCACAATGTGCGCATGCCGCGCTGAAGGCTATCGGTCGCCATCGGTACGCAGCCCCAGGGCTAGTTCCTCTGATCTTCTTCTCTAATCACTCGCCTCAAAGAGACTCATGATCCTCTTCGCCTTCAGGGTGGCATGCGTAGTCGAGGGAATCCTTCGCGGAAGGCTTGAAGACGTTTAATGAGAAGAGGAACGTTTGGGAGCGCTTCATCCAGTAGCGGGGCCAACGACACCGACGCCAGGTTCATTCAGCTTGTCCACCATGCATTGTGGACAAACGGAATGATCCTGGCGTCGGTGTCGATGGGCCACCATGCCTTCGCGATCAAATCCGTCGTTGGATATCGCTGGATGGACCATTGATAGGTTCGTCAATGCGTCTTCGCACTTTTTCGAAATCCTCCATTTTCCTTGTCATTTTCTCACGGGATTCCTAGGACGAGACCTGGAGTTCTGGGATTAGGACCACGACTACCAGGTGGCACGTGGCACTGTCTAGGCCCTGAAGATCGTCTATACTACTGCAGAGAGGGCACTGGCGCTCGTAATGACCTTCAAACGTAAAATAAGAAGGCAGAGTAGGGAAAACAGAAGCTGCTCCAGACGGTCAAGGAAGACCGGGAAGAGATTCCCGGATGCGAAGTAGATGACCGTCTTGAAGAAATGAAGGCATCGCATGGGTGAACCAAAAACATGTTTCAAGGGTTGTCCTCGCTTTCCCAATTGATTTCCGCAGCCTGCTCAAGAATTATAACATTTCAATATTTTCTGTTAAATCCTCAGAGCGCCATAAGTTTTCGATGTATCGAGCTTTTGGCCAATAAACGCATTGCCATGAGGCAGCACTTCCACTTGCGGGAGGACTGTTATTTTTTGTATGCGGCGTCTACTAAGTAAGTGGAACCGAAAAATGAACATGCTCAAGATTTATCATCAACTTTCAGTTTCACCATATAATTGGTGACGTACCCTATTCCATACCCATGAGCCACCCGCCAGTCGATTTTGTCAACTTGACAAACGCACTTCATTCAGACAAATCAGGAATCACAGGCCCTACCTCGCCACTGTCTTTAGAAGTAGCTCGTCTCGCCTTTGTCAGTCTCTGAAGCCTGTAAGCGCACTCACAGCCCGTCTTCCACACAAGTACGCACGAATCTCCCTGACTGGAGCACCATACGGCAGTGTTCCCATTCAGCCACAACTCCTGCGAACAGATCACTCGAGCTCCTCGGCGGCCACTGTGCGTGGCCGGGCGTTAGTTGTACCTCACCTCGTCACGGTGACCGTCACGGCTAGCCGTCACAGCTGGGCCCAGGGCGCCGGCTGGTCACCGAGCAGCTGACAGCTGCCAGGTGGGAACCTCAGGAACTCCAGCAGGCCAGGCCCGTCTCGGCCGAGCGGGTCCGGCGGCAGCAGCAGCTGGTCGCCCACAAACGTGGGGATCAGCAGCCTGCGGGGATACAGGCAGCAATGTCAGCGGTCAGCAGCCTGCAGGGATACAGGCGGTAATGTCAGTGGTCAGCACTCAGCAGACAGGTCAGCATCTGGTCGTCCCCAAACACCGGGATTGGCAGCCTGCAGGGAATCAGGCAACAGCGTAACTAGCCTCAGCAATGACAGCCTGTGCATACAGTTAGCAGCATTAGATGGGCAGCGCCAGCAGTTAGCAGCCTACCTGAAAATTGGCAGTGGCGGCAGTCGGCAGTCAAATAAGCAGTCTTATAAACTATGGCAGACGTCAATAACTGTCAAATTTACAGAAGTACGATTCCTCATAGATCCAGCAAGAGCGGTATGCAGCATGCACACACGGGAGCGTATAGCCCACCGAGCCGGCGCGGCGATGGGCCTCCGTTCCGTTCTGACCTGTTGTCGATGGTGTCGCCCCAGTCGGGCCGCTCCTGGGCCACGTCGCGGTAGAGGTCGCGGGAGATGATGACACCCCCCACGCGGGTGGCGTACATCACCACGTACCTGAGATACGGGATGAAGACGCACTTAGCTCAGCTCTCAGACAGTGGCGTGACACAGCACAGGAAACACACATGACTGAACAGAACATTTCACTACGTGACGTGAAACTGCATGGAGCAGACCAAACTCAACTCATTTCGGCTCAAGTAATTCATTTTTCGACTTCATGAGTCAAGCACTTACGTGGTCAGACTCAGTATGCGATTGGTACAAAACATAAATCAAGACACATCTTGTTGTTTGTTTATTAGGGTTTACGAAGACACATCTTCACGTGACGTGGTACAAGTATCAGAATCACGAACAAGATACGCCTAATTCCATCACGGAGAGGCAGGCTACGAAATGGGACAATTTACACTGATGTGACACCGCGAGTTTTCACTCAAGCTATCATCCTAAGCCGACATGGGGGCGCAGTTGGGGATACGGCTGATTCAGACGACATCTGGCCCCGCTGACTGACGGCCGGCAGTGGAAGTTGGAAATGTTGCGAATCACGCAGCAGATGTGCTATTTTGTATATGTCACGTGAAACAGCTCGCCCTGTGTTAAATTGTTTTGCAGAGCATGTCGGGCTAAAAAACCATAAAAACAAACAGAATACACCTTGGAGCCAGGGTATCCTTGGAGCAAGCTTGGAGTTTGCTTGGAGTACATATTGACTTGAATCACACCAAACTGTTTTCGTCAATTTATGATTAATCGATTTCAATGCTAATTCTGAATAAAGTAAAAGAGACAGAATCAGAATATTGAAGAATGACAACATAACCACACGAGAGGCCCAACAGGAACCGGTGGCTGCCACAAAACAGCCTGACACCCAGTCACTAGTCACACGGACTAAAAACATACCAGACACAATGACCTGTCTTATGACCTGTACCCACCCACCGGCTGACCTATGACCCCAGCCAGTGTCAATGACCCCCCCCGGCCGACCTGACCCATCCGGTCCCGCTCGGCGCACCCACCTGTCATCGTAGCTGGTGACGAGCCGGCCGCGGATGTAGCGGCTGGGCGTGTAGGCCAGCTCGCCCGTCTGGTAGAGATCCTCCAGCAGCTAGCGGTAGCCGGAGACACATCACACACGCGCATACAGCGGCGGGCACAGGCGAGGCCGCGGCACAGACACAGGCGCGCGTACAGGGGCGCGCGGCACAGACAGGCGCGCGTACAGGGGCGCGCGGCACAGACACAGACGCGCGTACAGGCGCGCGCGGTACAGACACAGACGCGCGTACAGGGGCGCGCGGCACAGACACAGGCGCGCGTACAGGGGCGCGCGCGGCACAGACACAGGCGCGTACAGGGGCGCGCGGCACAGACAGAGGCGCGTACGGGGGCGCGCGCGGTACAGACACAGGCGCGTACAGGGGCGCGCGCGGCACAGACACACGTGGTACTGGGGTTCAAGGACACTCATATCACTGCACCGCAGCGAGCTGGAAAATGCTTCCAAAGGTGATCACTGGAGTTGAGCTTACCACTGAAACTTCTGTTTAGAAAAAAGATAGCGGAATAGCTAAAAACCAGTGATGGTGACAAGGGCATACCCCACGATTGCAATACTCGTTGATAGCATATTTCAGCTCTGAGGGGCCAACATATCAGGGCCCAATCTCACCAAGTGCGGTAAACTGAATTTGGGGTAAAATACCAAACTACCCCACTCCATAACTACAAAAATACTATCCCGAAATTAGTTAAACTAGCTTGGTGAGGTTGGGCACTTGGCCCAATCTCACCAAGTTATGTAAACTTAATTTTGGGACAGTATTTTTGTAGTTACGAAGTGGGGTAGTTTGGTATTTTACCCCAAATTGAGTTTACCGCACTTGGTGAGATTGGGCCCTGGGAGTGTTGAGACCAGACTAAGGAACCAAGCTTACTGTAAACGATATAGAAGCACGGGCACAGTGCAGCCCTGACAAATAAGCATTAGACGCAATGCAAACACAAAAACAATTGGAACACAGTTGAGGTAAGTGTCAATCCACAAAGACTTGCTATGATAAGCATACTTAAAGTTGGTTGATGTTTTGCTACTGAGCATATAGCATCAGTGATGACGCTACGCTTAGGAATATTGTACTTTCAGCGCTAACGATTAAAACATTCAAGCACATTAATATTCAAACATTACGGGGATACACACACACAAGGAGCACTGCTTCATTAATGCTTTTCTACACATGCGCAGTATTAACCAAAAACAGTTTGTAGGGTCGCCGACACCAAACATGCATCCACGGACGATGTTGATGGGTATTTGAAGAAAGAAAAAAAACACAGTCCTTTTGTACAGTTTAATGACGGAAAGTTGTGATTTAGTGTGCGTGAGCATGCGACTCTCCGTAAAATGGACATGCGCAGTACATTATGACACAAAAAAAAAACACAAGCAGGTACCTCCACTCACAAACAAAGTAGTAAGTCACTGACTCATGCTTCCCACTTCTTATGAATGGCATCAATTAATAGTATTCATAATGAGATGGTGCACAATGCACATTGATCTGCGCAGTGCGCAACGCAGATGCATCGACGCCCTGAGAAGGGCGGTTGGTTTTCGGTGATGCATTGCTCGCCCTGAAAAGGGCGGTTCACATTTCACTCTTTCCGAGGTACTAGTAGTTAAGTGAGGAGTCCAACAAACACAGAACTTGCGTGTGGAGGAGAAACTTCTATTAAACACCTGTGAAAGTTTCTTCATTCTTCATTCTTACTTACGACACGATTCATTGTTGTTGATGTGGCCCAGGCGGCCATAAAAGTGTTGCCGATTTGCCAGGTGGGTTCCGTTTTGGAATTCGATCACATGTCATTCAAATATCTCAGGCACATGGCTTTTTTCATCAAAAAGTCATTCAAGACTTTTCCGACGCATGATGGTGACGAGAATCAACTATTGAACATACTCAGCCCGGGCGATCGTGGCGTCCTAGTTCGGGAGAAAATCGTACGAAGAGGATCATCCGAAAACATCATGCTTCATACAACGTGCTCATGTCAACGAGGCCAATCACCTCCTGGCCACTTAAAGCACGTGACAGCTCCGATTAGCACTTGTTCCGCGTGATAAATTGCTTCACCCGCAAGTGAGTGCTGTTGTAATTGATCAGCTGCTGGCCTGCATTTATCATTTAAAACAAATTTTACCGGCCTAATCCGTACCACGAAGGACGTCAAAGTACCAACAAGACATGCAACAGTCGTAAATCATTTCGCTCTTGACGATGTTCTGGTCAATATCTGGAGAAGGGACTGTAGAGCCGCAGAGATCAGCTTGCTGAACGCCAGTGACGGAGGTGATCCTATTCCATTGCGGGTCGCAGTAGACTGGCGTTAGTCGTTGACTTGTGCTAAAAACTGCAGCTGATGCTGCTGCGTGGCTCACGAAACGAGAAACAAGAACACGAAACAAATCTGTCCTGTAAGGTCCGTAGTGGAACAGACTACTGCGTGCCTTGATAGTCAGCTATCGCGTTTTTTTTTATGAGACTGTTAGCCGATCCTGAAATGCGTTAAAGATTACAACTTCCGCTATATGAAAGCATGGCGCTTTATCACTCCCGCCAATCAATCCATACACATACGAAACTCCCAAAATCGAATATCACACTGACTGGCAACTAACTACAGCATTTTAGGCGCAATTTCAAAAAGTTAAAGACCAAATTCAAAACGTTCACGTGCATTTTGAATGTAAACTTTTTGAATTTGGTCTTTAAATTTTTGAAATTGCGCCTAAAAAGGTGTAGTAAGTGAGATGCAATATGTATGGCTCAACCCGGGACAAACAGGACACACCAGTACGGCCCCTCACTGACCCACCTTCTCATTCTCCTGGGTCCGGGCACGGTTGATGAAAGTGCTCGGGATGAAGACGGTGCACCGGTGGCCCAGGTTCTTAAAGTAGTCGAGCACGATCTTGATGCCGCGGAACGAGCAGACTTTGTTCCGGCCGTGGCTGAAAGGGATAAGTTGGCAGCGATAAACACTGAGCAGATATGATCGAGACATGTTCGGGGTTCCCACTGAAGTTTTGCTGCTATGCGCGATCTCTATCGGCGTGAGTGAATAGCGTGCTACTTCACTGGGAAACAGAAAGGAGATGTAACTTTTTCTCTACTGTTTTGCAGCTCATAGTGACATATTCACACAAGCGCAACAAAAATGGCACAATTGTAGTTTACAATGTCCCTACTTCCACAAAAAGAAGTGAAAAACGTAAAAGCCATGAATAACAACAATACAGCTCAAGCCCCGGATCCTTGTCACATTAGGACCGCCCCTTCGCTCCCACCCACCCGAACCACTCACGCATAGGCCACGTTGGGTCCATCGATGATGACGGGTCGCTTCGGCCGCTCCGACACCATACGCGCGAACGACTCGGAAAAGTCTGGCGCGAACTTGATGGGCTGGTCGGAGGTGGCTCCAAGGGGAGCGGCAAACCTGCTGCCGCGCCGGTCCACCATCCTGAGGGAGAGGGGGGAGACTGCTGGTTACACAGAACGTGCACGGTGCGCGATGCTAAAGGTAATGGGGGAAGGATTAACAATCTCCTATTTTATGCTGAGCATCTTACGACTGAAAAAAAAAAACAAGAAACGCTAAATGATAACAAGTCAAGCAAATACCGGTTGAGCAATAACTATTACAACAACTATAAATCGGGAATGATCATCAGTTCAGACATTACCCCTAATCTCATTGACGAAACAAAAACATGCAGAAAAATTGACATGCGCATGAGACATCCACTCTGAGCACTTACCAGCGTGTTGGCCCCCGCTCATTCGGTCCCTTCAGGTTTCGCTGACTGCGGTGATCCCTTGGCCTGTCGGACCTTTTCGACCGGTGCGACCTGCCCGACTTTCCCGGCCTGCTCGGCGTCTTGACTTGCGACCGGCTGAGTGTGCGGACCGCCATCTTCTTCACAGCCTGGAGGCGCCGCTGCGTGCTGCTGGTGCGGCGCAGCGGCTTCACCCGCACAACCGTGCAGTCGTTGGAGTCATGGCGGGTGCGGGACAGCTCGCCCTCCTCCAGGGAGCTCTCGAGGTCAGCGGCCGGGGCGGCCGTACCAGCCGCCGTCTTCCCCTTCACCGCAGGAGACTTCTTTGCTGGAGACTTTCTGGCAGGCTGTGCTGGAGACTTCTTGGTCACCCGTCCCCCCGGCGATTTGGAACCGACACGCCCCGGCCGCATCTTGGACAGATTGGCGGCCCTCAAGCGACGTGCCGGCGTCCTCTCAGAGGAGGTGTCGAGCAGCATCACGTCCGCGCTAAGGTCCGTCCTGACCGTCCGTTTCTCAGAGGGCGTGGTCTGACGCACCACACGGCGTACTTCCGTTACTTCTAATACAGTAGGATCCTCGTCTAGCGTGATCACAAAGGGTGTGACATCACGCACCTCACTGACGTCCGGCGGGCGGAGGGCCGCCGGTGTGGCCGGCGCCGAGCCCGTGCTGCCGCGAGCGCCGCCTGGAGCGCCAGGAGCCGGCGTCGAAGTGATCGGACCCTTTCCGCGGCGAGACTTCCGACGATTCCGCTTCCACTTCTTCACCGTGCCTGTGTCAGTGTTCCGCACGACCGGGGATGCCGAGAAGGGACTGAATAGTTCGTCAACGGTCAGCTCAGCGGCCGCCTTGTGTCCCGAGGTGGCGGCGTCGGCGGGGCTGGCGCACAGCGTCTTGGAGTGGTCCGGCGTGTTGGGGTCGGCCGGCAGTGGGATCCGCGACACTCGCCACGGGGAGAACTCCAGCTGCGACTTGGTGGCCGTCCCGCCTGCCGGCGGCGGCGCTGAGCCCGGCGCCGCGGAGGCAGGAGTCCCTGAGGAAGCTGCCGCCGCCGCGCCCGCTCCGCCATCCTTCCGACCGGCGGCGGCGCCCCTGCCGGGGGCGGCCGGCGCGGCCTGGTGGCGCCGCCGGTCGTACACCACCACGATCGTGTCGTCCGGCTCGTCGTCGTCGCAGATGACCTCCGGGTCGGAGTGGTGGATGGACGTACTGCGGGCGTACGGTCGGTACCGCAGGCCCGAGCTCCTCCGCGCCTTCATGGCGACTGCGCTGAGGACACGGAGGCATTCAGGTTAACTTGACACTCATAGCGAGTGAAACTACATGAATAAGAACACTGTATGCATCCAATTGAAAAGCTAATGATTTGACAGTCTGGGATTGTGCATACACAATATAAATATTAACTTCCCTTGGATATAATAGCAATTACTGTTCACAAGACTGAACTGAAACAGTTCATAATTTGTAATGAAAATAATTTGCAGATCTGCATTTTAAATTCACTGAATGAGGATGCAATTTGACTCTCTGTCCTGCTTTAAGTTTGTGTATATTTAGCTTTGACTGCTGTATTCAGCTTGTGTTTCTTTTTTCAATGAAAATGATTTGGCAATGGCAAATTTTCAATTTTTTTTTGTTTTTTTTTTCAATTCAAAATGCACATAGCATTTTCAATGAAAATGATATGTGCACTTTGAATGAAAGTGCATAAGCCCCTAGATACACTTTGAATTCATTTAAGGTCATTTTTACCTGAATTGCTGAATGGTTTGCACTGTGCAATGCTGCTTAGTTAAGTTCGTTCCCAATGGCCAAAACACTTGAAACAATTTATTATAGGTACTGAAAAATGACTTAAGCTGGTTTCTACTAGAATACTTATCCTTATCAGAAGGCAGATTACGTAATGGTTGTTAGGGTGTGATCAGTGATCAGGAGACAGGACCTGAGAAGAAGGTACCTCAGCAATAAATACAGCTATGCCAATCCATGCCCTCAACATAAAGAACTAAATTTGTTCCTTATTGTCTCACAAGTGATCAAACTTTAACTCTGCTTATGAGGGTCGCAATTAAAAAAAATTGTCCCAACCAATTGAATGGAAAGATTCACAAGGACAGAGCCTCTGCTAAACAAAGCTTGTTGTGTTGACCAGCTCTACCCTTCAATCGCGAAATTCTGATTCTATGACGGAATTTGGAATCCAAAGTTTAAATGTTCACTGTACAGTGTACACACATAACTGCACATGGCCAGTCCCTCACTGACTTTGCCTGGTTACGGCCTGCCACCAACCGCAACCATACCTGTCAGAAGACTCATAAACATATGCCAAGCTCATGTTGCGCTTCAAACCTGGGCAGTTATAACCAGGAATGCGTGCTCTCACCATGGTCCATGCAGTGACCAACATTCTACTGGCTGAGCTACGGGACTGGCAAGTTAGGTACTGATAGGATTTTAAAGGATGGTTACCTACCCTCGGCCTCCTGACCTACATGCCAACAGCATGCAAAATTTGAAATTGAAAATTAAATGTTTCAGAGAAGCTGTCAAATCAAAAGTAATTAAACATCAGTAGTGAAAACTAGCACAATGATCCAAAATGACATGGATGTGTACAGTAACAATCTAAAAAACTAGAAAATTGAATTGAAAACTATAATGTCATGATAACAATAATGCAAGATAACATTGGCGCCAGCACAGGAGCGGGAGAATGAAAAAGAATGGATAATTTGTCACCTGGAATACTAACCTTGACTCACGAAACAAAACTGGATGAGATAAACACAGAGGAGGATATTGAGTGTTTGAAGTATTACAAATCACAAGTTCGTAATATCCGTTCGTAATTACGAATTACGAACGAAATTACAAATTCGAAACACGTCTATCAATTCAGCAGCAACGAATATCAGCCTCACAGCAGCATATTTCGGGGTCTTTCGATTTGGCTGGAAATCGGTATACAGGGCCTCCTCGATGCGCTGATTCCGAAAATGTACCTCTTTGGGGTGGTATTTTGCACAGTTAACGAGTTAACGGGCATTTAACATTTTAACGGGAAACGGCGGGGTCTTTCGATTTGGCTGAAAATCGGTATACAGGGCCTCCTCGATGCGCTGATTCCGAAAATGTACCTCTTTGGGGTGGTATTTTGCACCGTTAACGAGTTAACGGCCAGTTAACATTTTAACGGGAAACAGCGGGGTCTTTCGATTTGGCTGAAAATCGGTATACAGGGCCTCCTCGATGCGCTGATTCCGAAAATGTACCTCTTTTGGGGTGGTATTTTGCACCGTTAACGAGTTAACGACCAATTAACATTTTAACGGGAAACGGCGGGGTCTTTCGATTTGGCTGATAATCGGAATACAGGGCCTCCTCGATGCGCTGATTCCGAAAATGTACCTCTTTGGGGTGGTATTTTGCACCGTTAACGAGTTAACGGCCAGTTAACATTTTAACGGGAAACAGCGGGGTCTTTCGATTTGGCTGAAAATCGGTATAAAGGGCCTCCTCGCTGCGCTGATTCCGAAAATGTACCTCTTTGGGGTGGTATTTTGGACCGTTAACGAGTTAATGGCCATTTAACATTTTATCGGGAAACGGCGGGGTCTTTCGATTTGGCTGAAAATCGGTATACAGGGCCTCCTCGATGCGCTGATTCCGAAAATGTACCGCTTTTGGGTGGTATTTTGCACCGTTAACGAGTTAACGGCCAGTTAACATTTTAACGGGAAACGGCGGGGTCTTTCGATTTGGCTAAAAATCGTTATACAGGGCCTCCTCGATGCGCTGATTCCGAAAATGTACCTCTTTGAGGTGGTATTTTGCACCGTTAACGAGTTAACGACCAAGTAACATTTTAACGGGAAACGGATCGAGGAGGCCCTGCGCATCGAGGAGGCCCTGTATACCGATTTTCAGCCAAATCGAAAGACCCCGCCGTTTCCCGTTAAAATGTTAGCTGGCCGTTAACTCGTTAACGGTGCAAAATACCACCCCAAAGAGGTACATTTTCGGAATCAGCGCATCGATGAGGCCCTGTATACCGAATTTCAGCCAAATCGAAAGACCCCGAAAATTTGCTGCTGAAATCGATATATGCTGCTGAAATTTAACGGTTCGTTAACTCGTTAACGGTGCAAAATACCACCCCAAAGAGGCACATTTTCGAAATCAGCGCATCGAGGAGGCCCTGTATACTGATTTTCAGCCAAATCGAAAGACCCCGCCGTTTCCCGTTTAAATGTTAATTGGTCGTTAACTCGTTAGCGGTGCAAAATACCACCCCAAAGAGGCACATTTTCGGAATCAGCGCATCGAGAAGGCCCTGTACACCGATTTTCAGCCAAATCGAAAGACCCCGCTGTTTCTCGTTAAAATGTTAACTGGCCGTTAACTCGTTAACGGTGCAAAATACCACCCTAAAGAGGCACATTTTCGGCATCAGCGCATCGAGGAGGCCCTGTATACCGATTTTTAGCGAAATCGAAAGACCCCGCCGTTTCCCCCGCTGTTATTTGGTCGTTAACTCGTTAACGGTGCAAAATACCACCCTAAAGAGGTACATTTTCGTAATCAGCGCATCGAGGAGGCCCAGTATACTGATTTCAGCCAAATCGAAAGACCCCGCCGTTTCCCGTTAAAATGTTTATTGGCCGTTAACTCGTTAAGTAATTAACGATCGGTATCGGTATCGGTACGGTATGAGACACCCTAATCAGTAATAGGGCCCACCTATTAGCTTGATTTGGGGCTCGAATAGAGTGAGCGGAGGATGGCCAGCACGAGGAGGGAGGGAGGGGCAGAGGGGTGGGAGGAGACCCGAGTCGTGGCGCGGTTGACGACCCGGGTCCAGGGGGAGGGCACCGGGCTTCGGCCGAGGCGAGATAAGACGCGCACAGTACACAGGCCGCAAAACAGGTCGGGCAGTCCAAGGCGCGCGCTCAGAGGCGGCGGACAGTGCGGAAGGGTGGAAACGAAGCGACAGGACAGGCTGTGGAAAACGATCGGTATGAGTTAACGAGTTAACGGCCGTTAACTCGTTAACGGTGCAAAATACCACCCCAAAGAGGCACATTTTCGGAAACAGCGCATCGAGGAGGCCCTGTATACTGATTTTCAGCCAAATCGAAAGACCCCGCCGTTTCCCGTTAAAATGTTAAATGGCCGTTAACTCGTTAACGGTGCAAAATACCACCCCAAAGAGGTACATTTTCGGAATCAGCGCATCGAGGAGGCCCTGTATACCGATTTTCAGCCAAATCGAAAGACCCCGCCGTTTCCCGTTAAAATGTTAAATGGCCGTTAACTCATTAACAGTGCAAAATACCACCCCAAAGAGGTACATTTTCGGAATCAGCGCATCAAGGAGGCCCTGTATACCGATTTTCAGCCAAATCGAAAGACCCCGAAAATTTGCTGCTGAAATCGATTATATGCTGCTGAAATGTTAACGGTTCGTTAACTCGTTAACGGTGCAAAATATCACCCCAAAGAGGCACATTTTCGAAATCAGCGCATCGAGGAGGCCCTGTATACTGATTTTCAGCCAAATCGAAAGACCCCGCCGTTTCCCGTTAAAATGTTAATTGGTCGTTAACTCGTTAACGGTGCAAAATACCACCCCAAAGAGGCACATTTTCGGAATTAGCGCATCGAGAAGGCCCTGTACACCGATTTTCAGCCAAATCGAAAGACCCCGCTGTTTCCCGTTAAAATGTTAACTGGCCGTTAACTCGTTAACGGTGCAAAATACCACCCTAAAAAGGTAAATTTTCGGCATCAGCGCATCGAGGAGGCCCTGTATACCGATTTTCAGCCAAATCGAAAGACCCCGCCGTTTCCCGTTAAAATGTTAAATGGCCGTTAACTCGTTAACAGTTCAAAATACCACCCCAAAAAGGTACATTTTCGGAATCAGCGCATCGAGGAGGCCCTGTATACCGATTTTCAGCCAAATCGAAAGACCCCGAAAATTTGCTGCTGAAATCGATATATGCTGCTGAAATGTTAACGGTTCGTTAACTCGTTAACGGTGCAAAATACCAACCCAAAGAGGTACATTTTCGAAATCAGCGCATCGAGGAGGCCCTGTATACCGATTTTCAGCCAAATCGAAAGACCCCGCCGTTTCCCGTTAAAATGTTAACTGGCCGTTAACTCGTTAACGGTGCAAAATACCACCCCAAAGAGGTACATTTTCGGAATCAGCGCATCAAGGAGGCCCTGTATACCGATTTTCAGTCAAATCGAAATACCCCGCCGTTTCCCGTTAAAATGTTAACTGGCCGTTAACTCGTTAACGGTGCAAAATACCACCCCAAAGAGGTACATTTTCGGAATCAGCGCATCGAGGAGGCCCTGTATACCGATTTTCAGCCAAATCGAAAGTCCCCGCCGTTTCCCGTTAAAATGTTAACTGGCCGTTAACTCGTTAACAGTGCAAAATACCACCCCAAAGAGGTACATTTTCGGAATCAGCGCATCAAGGAGGCCATGTATACCGATTTTCAGCCAAATCGAAAGACCCCGCCGTTTCCCGTTAAAATGTTAACTGGCCGTTAACTCGTTAAAGGTGCAAAATACCACCCCAAAGAGGTACATTTTTGGAATCAGCGCATCGAGGAGGCCCTGTATACCGATTTTCAGCCAAATCGAAAGACCCCGCCGTTTCCCGTTAAAATGTTAAATGGCCGTTAACTCGTTAACGGTGCAAAATACCACCCCAAAGAGGTATATTTTCGGAATCAGCGCATCGAGGAGGCCCTGTATACCGATTTTCAGCTAAATCGAAAGACCCCGCCGTTTCCCGTTAAAATGTTAAATGGCCGTTAACTCGCTAACGGTGCAAAATACCACCCCAAGAGGTACATTTTCGGAATCAGCGCATCGATGAGGCCCTGTATACCGATTTTCAGCCAAATCGAAAGACCCCGAAATATGCTGCTGTGAGGCTGATATTCGTTGCTGCTGAATTGATAACGTGCATATAGTTGCATCATATTCACATTCAGATTCGCGTGCACATTCGCGGACCCCTTCGATTTGGCTGAAAATTGCACAGCAGATAGACCATGAGCTCCTAAGTGCAAAAATCATCTTTTTACTAACCGACATCAAGTATTTTCCAAGTTATTCACGTTTGTTTTACTAGTACAATATTCTGGTTAGTAAACTTCCCGGAAAAACCGGACCTCATCAAATTTCAAGAAAATTTCAGAAATGATTAAGACTCAGTAGTTCTTTACCAAAAACTAATTTGCATCAAACGCGGTTGCATAGTTTTCTCAGGAGAAGTCTCTAAAGTTCAAGGTCGTTCAAGGTCATCCAATTTTTCTCACTTTTTGGAGTCGTTTTACACGTGACAGCTTCGTATTTATGAAGGACATTAGCTATACATACTGCAATAACAATATACTTAAGCACCAGAGGCATTGTTAAACCAAAGGGCGAAAAACAGTCGATAAACCTATTGAGCAAAGCCAAGAGGTAAATACAAGTGATATTCAGATTTCTCGTCCTAAAGTGAACTTGCCGGACCCCTCCGATTTCGTTCAAAGTCACAGGAATGATGCTCCTTGACCTCCTGAACACGAAAACAGTGCTCCTTTTGACCGACATGAAAGACTTTTCCAGATATACGAATGCGTGCACATTCAAATTGCATCTGTTGCATATGGCACGTTGGGCGGACCCCTTCGATTTCGCTCAAAATCACAGGAATGATGCTCCTTGACCTCCTGAACACGAAAACAGTGCTCCTTTTGACCGACATCAAAGACTTTTCCAGATATACGCATGCGTGCACATTCAAATTGCATATGTTGCATATGGCACGTTGGGCGGACCCCTTCGATTTCGCTCAAAATCACAGGAAT